AGGCACCGTGGGATGTTCCCGATAGGATCGGCCTACATGCCGGCCTCTCCCGCACCGACACCAGGAGCGGCGACACAGCCCGCACGGATCCCAGCCCCGGACTGGAACCGCGCCCTGGACTCGCCCCCCTATGGGCGGAAAGCGGAGGAGGACGATGAAGGGGCAACCCGCAATCGGGGAATAGTAAGAAGCGGGGGGAGAACGAGAGAGAAGGCGAAAGAGGACGCGGGAAGGCCGTACTTGAGGAGGGTCATAGACGAATGGCTCGATCGCAAGGACCGAGGGATGTCCCTCCAGGATCGAGCTATGGCGTTAGCTGATCGCCCGCTACATGCCGAAGACATAGTAGACACCGGAGTGCCACTATCGGACGAGAGCGCGGGCGAAATCCCTAACTACCGCTTCCACCTGAAAGGCCCCTTGCTATCCGAACTGAAGGAGTGCGTCAGAAAGGTACAAGCGCTGGTGGACGAGGCGGCGACTTGGCGAGTGAACCGAGTCGGGCCAAGCTATCAGATCGACGCAAAGGGGCGCATCATCAACGTTCTACGCAACGCAGTAACCCTCGAACAGCTCCATCTCAATTACAGAAATCTCCGTTCTCGGCTCGGGGCAGGCATAGACAAGCTGAACGATCTGAAGGAGGAAGACGCCGACGCGGATATACCATTGAGAATCAGCCCCACGCTAACCTCTTCCACTATGCGCAAAGAATTGGCTAGCGACAGGAATCTCTCGCCGGACTATGTGACTCGTCGTTACGCGACCGCTCCCTGCTTACTACAGCAGCTAGGAATAGAAAGGGAGCTCGTCCAACAGTCCTGGGTCAGGAACGTCGGCCCAACGATAGACTTCGCGTCCGACGAGGCCAAGCGAACTTTCACGGTGCCAAGTGGACTGCGGGAGACTTATGCCGATAGAGAGCCCGAAGTTAACCCGATCCCGCTCACGTACGACAAAGCGAAGGGACGACTAGTCGCTACCGCAGATCCCTCCCGCTCGAGTATTGGTCAGGAATACGGATGGCTGCCCGAGCTGGAGCGGATCCCTGCTTCCGTGTCAGCGTGGAACGGGCGCCAGAATAGAGAGGGAGGACGAAGAGTGGTATCTACCCCGGCGACGACGGACTACTCGCCGGCGCCCGATAGCATCTTCTCGTCGACGACGATTACCGACCATCGCATGGACAGGGGGCGAAGGGAGGTGGCGACACATCTAGCCTCCCTAGCGCCCATACCGGAGGAAGGAATAGAAGGGAGCGCGATGCATCCGCACGTCCGGGCAGAGATCAACAACTCGGTGGCCTTCGGTGCGGCCAGCAACATGCTTGCGGCTCCTCCCTTTCAAAAGGGGAACCCGGTCCGACCGCGGGAGAGGAGCTGGCATAGGGACCCGCCTCCGCACTGGGACGCCGGAGGGGGTACCAACGTGGGAGAAGAGTACCTACGTACGGGGATGATTCCCCTACTGCCGTCTCAACCAGTCCCAGAACATCCACCGGGGATCGTGCCATCCGAATCCGTCAGCAACCTGGTGGATAGGCGATCGCAGTCTTACATCCACGCTCCCGCCCCTTTAGTGCCCGACGGGGGGTTCAGAGCGGATGGCTTTGAAGTCTTGAACCGGAATCTAGAATGCCCCGCGCAATACTATCCGGGCGCTCCGAATGCCCCGCTCCCCCAAGACCCACAGCGGGGGTCAGGCAGGCCGAGCAGCGAAGGGAGCGGGAGTCACAGCTCTCAGCCACACGGCGCGGGTGGACCGCCAAGCGGCTGGCATCTGCCCCCTCATAGACATCCTTTCGGAGGCCCTCCACCGCCTCCTGGACCCGACGGGGGTGGGGGCGGACGGGTTCCACCCGGGGGGCCCCCTTGGATGTCGAGCTACCCCCATGCGGCGATGCCGGGGGGCGGCGGAGGCGGGGGAGGCGGTCCAGCGCCGAATCTGCCGAGCGGGCAGATGCCGTTCCAGAATAGCTGGTTCGATCCGCTGGCGCCGAGGTTAGAAAACAAGCTGCGCGCCAGCGATCTGCCGACTTGGGACGGAGGCTGGGATTCAGCGGTCAATTACTTTTACAATGTAGAAGAATTCGCCCGCCCCGGAGGCTATCTATCCAAAATGATGGGACAATCCCTCTGGCAGCGTCTGAAGGAAGGTTCCGAAGTTCGCAACTGGTACTTGACGCTGCCGGACGAATGGAAGGATTGGATGAGCCGCGATCATAAAAACTACCTCTACGGCATTAAGCTACGATATCTGGGTTCGGAATGGGCGAAATACCAGGCCCTACAGTTCAGCGTCGTTCAATTCCGGCAGAAGGGCTACGAAAGGGAATCCCCGTCGTCCTTCATGCATCGGATCATCATGCAAGCACGCGCCCTCGGTCTCAGCGACGGAGGAGGGCCCTTAGAAGTCGAAATCCTTTTCACGAAGATCCCCCTTTCGTGGGCGGCGATTGTAGGCACTTCAGAAATACCGAGTACGGCCGAGCTGGAAAGCAAAATAAGGATGCACTCGGACCGACTGATCGCCGCCCACTCCTCGGCAACCAGCGCGGCAGCCATCACGCAGGAGAAGTTCAACGCAATGCTGAAAGTCGCGCAAGGAGACAGAGAGTTCAGAAGGACGAACCGCGAGGCGCGATGGGAGCACGGACAGGCCAGGGCCCGAAACGCAGAAGCCGTAGAGACTAGCGGGGTAGACGGATCGATAGGGGCGGCTGCGTACTTTGCCGGAATGGATGAGACGGAACCCCCAGAGGGATTTCGCGGAGGAGATGTCCCCGCCGACATGGATCAGCTAGTCCTCAATGAGGCGTACGCGGCTCTCAAAGAGAAGAATCAGAAGGCTCCTCCGCGCACGTACCGTTTCCCGCGCAAAGAACTCGATCCCCCGTCGAAAGCGAGGCCGCCGTCTCCGTGCGCGCTATGCGGCGGGAATCATTGGAACCGCGAGTGCCCCCATCGTCCCTACGTCAAGGATGCAAACTGCGTACAAGCCATAGACGACGATGTATATAACGCCCTTTGGGAGGCGGAGTGCCAAAATTATAATGCGTCCCTTTATCTGGCGAGACCCCCGCAAGAGCAATCCGAGACGGTAAGGACAGAGGCACAGAAGGATCGCGTCGCCATCCCTGTCACGAAGCTACCGGCGGACCAGCAGCCGTGGATAGAGGAAGTCGAGGATGAAGGAGACGGAAGGCCCCCAGATCGTCTTCCCTGGGAATCGGGAGTGCTGCTCGAGGAGAAGAATCTGCTCGAGGAGACGAACCACTGCGCGTTCGGAGTAGTAATCGAAGAAGAAGCAGACACCGACGAGCCAAGGCCAGAGCCCGCTGAGTGGGAGCCGACTCCCATACGCATCCCCCGGAAACGGAGAACTCTACCGGGGTGATCGGCGGTGGGGGTGTCTGTATTAAACGTACGCGGAAAGCTGGGTAGCCTCGAAGAGGAGGAAATCAACTTACGGTTCGACTCGGGAGCGGATATCTCGCTCATATCGGAGGAATACCTGGAATCAATGAAGAACCCCCCGAAGATAAAACAAGGGATGAGGATGCAGTTGTGGCAGCTCACGAGCGGGGACACCAAGATGAAAGGTTATGTTACCATACCGGTCTTCGTCCGAGCGACCGACGGATGCACCCTGGAACTCGAAGTCGAAGCATACGTGGTCCCAGGGATGTCAGTACCGATCCTATTAGGCGAGGATTTCGCCTACGACCACGAGCTAGGGGCCACCCGGGACGCCCTCTGTCGGGCGCATATCTTCTTTCGACGATCAACCGCGCGAGTGAGAGCCGAACCAGCGCGGCGCTCGGACGACCTTAAGCATGTCCGGCGCAGCGTGTTCTCATTGCAATCATGGGTTAAGGCGAAGACCACCGCGAGGCTGAAGAGCCGAAGCCTAAGAGCGAAGAACCGAGAGGGCAGAGCCAGACGGGTCGTTCGAGCGAAGGAGGACACTCTAATAGCGCCGGGTACCGTCAGGAACGTCGAGGTGGAGGCGGATTTGGGAGAGGACCCGGATAAGGAATGGTTGGTTAGCAAGGGTTTCCTCGTCGATTCGGCCAGCGAGAAATGGCCGCTGCCGAATACCCTAATCAGGACGTCGGATCCACGGGTCCCGATGGCGAATACGTCAACTCGGCCTAGGTACATACGCAAAGGAGACGTCTTAGGAGAACTCCAGGACCCAGAAAGCTACTTCGACAGATCAGCGAACTTCGGGGAAGCCGAGAGGATGACGGAACGAGCTTCTAAGGCGGCCAGGCTGTTGGCCTCGCTCCAAGAAGTCTGGGGCGGCGTGAACGGACAATGCAGCGCGGGGAAGGGAAAGGACAAACGAGGCGCCAGTACGCCGTTCTTTGTAGATCCGCTGGGCCAAGTACACGACAAACTTCCGAAGCCCTCGTATTGGGTGGACGGTCAAGGAGTGTGCCATCGTTCAGAGAGGGAAATCGAACGCGGGGACGTGGACGAACCGAGCGAAGAGACTGAAACATGGGGACCGAAGATGAGCGAGATGCCCGATACTGAGGTATACCCGTCTGAAAAGATGGAGGAGACGATCGATGTGGGGGATCTACCGGAACATCTGAAGGAACGAGCATGGGAGATGCTCAGACGCCGGGTGAAGGCCTTCGGGTTCGACGACCGGTTGGGGCACCACCCGAGTAGGGTGAAGATCCGCACCAAGCCAGACCAAGAGCCGATAGCGGTGCCGATGTACGGAGCCTCCCCGGAGAAGAGGAAAGTCATCGAAGAACAGATCGGAAAGTGGTTTCAACAAGGAGTCATCGAGCCCTCGCAGAGCCCTTGGAGCGTGCCCGTAGTGATAGCATATCGAAACGGGAAAGCGAGGTTTTGCGTTGACTACCGCAAGCTCAACGCCGTCACGACCCCGGACGAGTTCCCGATACCGAGACAGTCGGAAATCTTAGCAGCATTGTCAGGGGCACAAGTACTGTCCTCGCTAGACGCTCTCTCTGGATTCACGCAGCTAGAAATGGATAAGGATGAAGTAGAAAAAACGGTGTTCAGGACACACCTCGGCCTTTTTCAGTTCAAACGAATGCCTTTCGGCCTGCGCAACGGGCCCTCGATCTTTCAGAGAGTGATGCAAGCAGTGCTCGCCCCCTACCTTTGGCTATTCTGCCTGGTTTACATCGACGACATAGTCGTCTACTCGACCACTTACGAAGCGCACATCGACCACCTCGACCGAGTCCTAGGGGCAATGGAGAAAGCGGGTATCACCCTGTCTCCGAAGAAATGCCATCTATTCTACGGGTCCATCCTGTTGCTAGGCCACAAGGTATCGAGGTTGGGGTTGTCGACGCACGCCGAGAAAGTGAAGGCAATAACGGAGCTGGAGCGACCTACGAAAATATCGCAGCTCCAAGCCTTTTTGGGAATGATCGTCTACTTCTCGGCGTTCATCCCATACTACTCGATGATCGTGGCCCCGTTATTCAAGCTCCTCCGTAAAGGTACGCCTTTGAAATGGGGAGCGGAGGAAGAGTACGCTTTCCTAGAAGCGAAAAAGGCCCTCCAGGAAGCGCCGGTGTTAGGACACCCCGTTCAAGGCAAGCCGTACCGCCTGTATTCCGATGCATCCGACGAGGCGTTAGGATGCGCGCTACAGCAGGTTCAACCCGTTAGAATAGCGGATCTTAGCGGAATGAGAGCTTACGCGAGGTTGAAGAAGGCCTTCGAGGAAGGAAAACCAGTGCCGCGACTTGTGACGAAGATGTCCGAGAAGATCAAGGATGCAGAGACGGAGCGGACTTGGGCGGAAAATTTCGAAGAAACGACAGTCGACGTCGAGAGGGTGATAGGCTATTGGTCCCGCACGTTTAAAGGAGCGGAGTGCAGATATTCTACCACGGAAAGAGAGGCGCTCGCCGCAAAGGAAGGCTTAGTGAAATTTCAGCCGTTTATCGAAGGCGAGAGCGTACTGCTAGTGACAGACCACGCAGCGCTACAATGGGCCCGTACATACGAGAACGCGAACAGAAGACTAGCCGCATGGGGGGCGGTGTTCTCGGCGTACGCCCCGAACCTAGAAATAGTACATCGCCCAGGACGAGTACACTCGAACGTCGACCCGCTATCGCGGCTAAGGCGCAGCAACGGAGAAGCCATAGTAACGCCCGCCCACACCTCCCCGCTGGAAGACGAATCACCAGCGATACCGACAGACGAAGCAGCAGCAGCGAAATGGGAGAAAGAGCAAGAGACCAGACCCGCCGCAAGAGCGACGGCGAGCTTCAGAGCGGAGAGCATCTTGGAATGCGTGGTGGCAGAGGCGAATCCGAAGCTCAAAGTATGGAAGCCGACGAAGGAGTACGACACCAGAAGAAGAGACAACACGCGAGACCAAGAAAAGAAGCCACCGCCGAAACGGAACCGCATTAGGCCGACGAAAGGCGATGGGGGGGCAAGGTACACGGAAGGAGGAACAAAGAAAGACGAGAGGAGCCCTTATGAGCGAGCGAAAGACTGGGAGGAAGACAACCCGCCACCTTCGCTAGTGATACACATCGAAGAAGCGCTGCTGAAGAGGTACATCAAGGGCTACGAAAACGACATCACCTTCCGGGCCAAATACCAGAGCAGGGAATCCGATCCGCGGTCATGGCATCCAACTAAGAGGTTCTTCAGAGACGAGAGAGGACTGCTGTACTTTCGAGACGCGGACTTCGTCCCTAGACTGTGCGTCCCGAAGGAGCTACAGGAGGACCTCCTGAAACAGATTCACGAATCGGCCCACTCCTCGGCGCACGCGAGCACGGAGAAGCTCTGGCTGAGCCTGAAGGATCGTTATTACTGGCCGAGGATGAAAGTAGACATCGAACGCTTTTGCCGATCGTGCGACGTATGCCAGAAGACGAAGGACCTGAATTTCAAGAAATTCGGCTGGCTGCGCCCGAATCCGATACCCCAACGACCGTACGATTCGATATCGCTGGACTTGATAGGCCCACTGCCAGAATCCAAAGGGTACACGGTGATCCTGGTGATAGTGGACAGGCTGTCAAAACACGCCAACTTCATACCGGTCTCGTTTGAAATGAACACCCAAGAATTCGCGCGGGTATTTGTGGCCAAGGTGGTGTGCAAATACGGGCTCCCGCTATCCATATTCTCGGACCGAGACGGGCGGTGGGTATCAGAGTTTTGGCGGGCGGTGACCAAGCGCTTGAAGGTCGATATGGCCCTTTCTTCATCCCGACATCCGCAACACGATGGGCAGACAGAAATAGTAAACAAGAGGATAGAAGTGATGCTGCGAGCGTACGTCTATGAAGACCTGAAGCAGTGGCATCAGTGGCTGCCGTTGATCGAACATGCGTACAACTCCTCCTCGCACGTGTCCACTCGGGAAACTCCTTATTTCCTGCTCTACGGATTTCAACCTCGGGACGTCTTCGACCTACTAGCGGAGAGAGCCGATACTAGCGGGATCAGCAGGCGGTCGCCGGAAGGAGTGAAGGAATTCATCAAAATCCTAGCCATGCGTCGCGACCTCGCCCGACGAGCAATAGCAAGAGCGCAGATCAAACAAGCGGACGCGTATAACAAGGGAAGGCGTTTCTTAGAACTAGCTCCCGGAGACGAGGTGCTCGTTAACCCCCATTCGATGCAGTGGGTGGAGTCGAAGGGCGCCGGCAGCAAACTACGCCAACGGTGGATCGGCCCTTTCGAAATCCACGAGAGGATCAACGACAACACATATCGAGTACGGATGGGAGACGAGTATCCTGGAGAGCCGATATTCAACATTGAACACCTTCGCCCATACTACCGATCGCCGCAGGAGTTCGGCGAACGTGCTACGCTGCCGGATACTCGCGCCCATCCCCAGGAAGGAGAAGAGGAAGAGGTGGAACGGATAGTAGCTCACCGATGGGACAAGAGAGCCCGCGGGTGGAGGTTCCTCACGCACTTCAAGGGCTTCAGCCCGTTAGAGGACAAATGGCTGTCCGCTCGAGCTCTCAAGAACGCGCCCCGAATACTAGCCGAATATCGAGCAGCTCATCGGCTGTGAATAGGACCTACAAACCGAATGGATTGTGCATAGGCAATAAAAGTCAGTTTAAACCATTCTACACCCACTCCACCAACGGCACAACCCTCCCGTCTTCGGTCTCGACGTAACTACCAAATGTGCGTTCCCAATCAGCCTCCGCCTCCTCCCGACTCCGGAACCCCTTGAAGCGAGCATTGCTCACACGTTGCGTCATGCGGAAGCACTCGTCCCTGAGGGGTAGGTCAGAGATAGGAAGGAGGAGAAAAGCGGAAAGAGGATACCAGGAATCAACTACCCCTACTTCGCGACCACGATAAACGACATAGTGGGAATATTCCCCCCGACACCTACCTCCGACCCGTCGAACGGTGCTGCCCGGCGTGGCGCTGCGAAGGGTAGCCGCAGCCGACCTGTGTCGCTAATCAGCGAGGACCCGCTGGCGCGACGAAATCACCAGGGCGGCGCACCAATCATCCAGATGGGCGCGAGACGAAGAAGAGGGGCCGGAACTTCCCTATGAGACGACATATCCCGACCTCGCCGTGCGGGGAGGCGTTGAGAAACCCCGGGCGGAAGGGTTGCCTAGAGGGAGTCCAACCGGTTCTTTGCCCGGAGAATCGGGCGGGGACGCCTTCGGAGGGGTCGGAGCCGCAGGTGGTTCGAGAGGCGGGACGTGCCGCGAAGACGACGTGCTCGGGTTATCAGGGCGAGCAGGGGTGCGCTGAACGAGAGAATGCCCGAGAGGGAGCTCCCGCGTGTAGGGAGGAGGTTGCTCCCTGGTCCCCGTTGGAAGACGGGGCGCAAGAGGAAGAGTCGTCCGGGCGCGAGGAGGATCCGATACGATGAGCTGTCCCTCCAAAACCTTCGCTAGCAAGTCCACCGACGGATCCAGTACCCAGTCAGGGAGAGGATCGCACTGGGCGAAGAGGTCGTCGTCTGCGTCTTCAGGATCGGCGGAATCAGCTTCATCGTCGCTGTCGGTAACGACCTCGGGCTGCTTTCCCTTATCGGCAGGGATCTTCATGGTAAGGGCAAGCGACGAGAGGAAACGCGACTTTGAGTAATAAACAACGCTCTCGGTCCCACGGTAACCCCTCGGCGGCAAGGCCCTCAGCTATCGACCTTTCGACACGTCAACACAGCGCGTGATAAACTGAGCGGTCGACCTCCGCCTCTTGCATCCTACGAGTCCCATCCGTCTCTCAAACCGATGGCCGACGCCACCAGCGAAGACAAGGCCCCTCGCTACTGGGTCTCACCCGGAGGGGCTGTGGCTCTGGTGTCCCCAGAAGGGCCCATCGATTTCGAGCGAATTACCCCGTCCGTGCTGGAAGAAATACGGGACTACGACTGGCTGAGGGGAGGACACCATGAAGGAAGAGGTCCGAGACCGCCCGACTCCGAAGCGGCCGAGACTTCAATGGAGGAATGGTCCACGAAGGCTTGGTGGTTTTCCGGACCCGAACCCTGGATTGCGTTCGTGCCAGCGTTGACGGGCCTCTGGAGAATGCAGTGGAACGTAAGCTGGATATACGAGGGACCGAAAGCCTCGCTGGCCCACCTGGAGGAAGTCGAGACGGCCGACGGGGGGAAATATTGGACGCTAGCTCGGGATCTAGAAAAGGACCTACGCGAAGACTACGAAGGCTTACAGGATGCCATCCTCCTGTTCGTGGATCGCTATGCTCGGGAGAAGCTAGGTGACCGAGTCCCCCGTCGCTCGTACGAAGCTATACGAGGGAGCGACATAAACGAAGCGTGTTGGAAATGGGCCAAGGCCTGTACTGAAATCCTGACTTCTTTAGGGTTCCTAAGGATGGCCCTGCTGACGTTCGGGCCTGACAAGTTCGAGGATTTCTTCGCGGAGGGCCTGGCCGTCCGTCTGAGACGATTGCGGGTCGACGACTTCGGAGGGCCAGTCAAGGGTGCCGTGTTCGACCTGCACTCCGCGCGTAACGCCGTCAAATATAGCGACACGCCCACCTTCTCTTCCTACGCCTTCGAAAAGCTGCGAGAGCTCGGGTCGACGAGCGTGTACCTCTATCCCCTCGAAGCGGAAGCCGATCCCCGCGACTTACACTTAGACCCTCGGCGATTGGGAGCGAAGAGGCAGGTCCAGGGAGTCCCGGAAGCGGTAGCCCAAGCCCAACGCGCGCGTGTAGGGGTTCAGGGGCGTCTAACCCTCCATCTGAAAAAACCCAAATTTATATAGCTGCCCCTTTGAACTATTGTTGCTATAGTAGCTCTATGTGCACTATGGAGTGATCAGCTAGCTGCTATAGAGCGCTATGTAGACTATGACAGTCGCTATGGGGTGCTACATAGCAATTTATAGCTTAATACACCAGCTATATAGCAATGCATAGCTCATAGTGACGTCCATATAGCACCCATAGCTTTGGATATATGTCTATATAGCACCCATAGTTTTGGTACATACTTATATAGCAACTATAGCAGACTTTCCAACTCACACTATGTTATGATCTTCAGTGGTTTTGGGGTAATAGTCAGCCTGTACAGTGAAGTATCAGTGCATAGTATCATATAAGCTTATATATAAACATTAACTATAACACAGTACACTAGGATCAATGTGGACTTAGCAGAAATTCGGGTTTGGACCGGCGGTCACGTGACCAATGATGCCCAGTGAAAACTGCCAATTTTGAGAGCAGTTCACGCAGGATGTTCCGGGAGGAATCACAGCATAAGCGAGCGAAGCACAAGAGTGAAGCGACCTCGCAGGAGCTCGCTGTCATCCGGAGACAACTGCGGCCATACATGATTTTGAGACTAACCACACAGCCACTGCTTTGCGAAATGTTGATACAGAATGTTGTCGGTTCTCTGTAGGATATGAACCACTCGAGCGATATCACCGACAAACTTCAGAATCATACAG